TCCCAGATAGTAACCCAGCATAGAACTGGGAAAATGAACAGCACACCCCAATCTTATCCAAAGGAATATTGACAACTGATTACCGTTAGATGAGGAACAGCTGACCCTCCTTTCTACTTTTTAACCAGACATTTACATTACATAAAGGCTGGAAATCAGTCCTCCTTTACAATGCATACTTGATAAAAATATAATATAAAATGGATTCAGAGACAAGTGTCTGAATATGCCAGTGTTTTGATTAACTCACAAGGTTTTTTCTGATAATATTATTGCTCTCAGGATAAATATAGCACCACTCAGATCTGCAATTCTACTTTTTAACCAGACATTTACATTACATAAAGGCTGGAAATCAGTCCTCCTTTACAATGCATACTTGATAAAAATATAATATAAAATGGATTCAGAGACAAGTGTCTGAATATGCCAGTGTTTTGATTAACTCACAAGGTTTTTTCTGATAATATTATTGCTCTCAGGATAAATATAGCACCACTCAGATCTGCAAGAACACACTTCTCATGCTGCAGAAAACCACAGAAGCGCACAGGAAATGGTACAGCTTGTAACTGCAATACCAATATAGCCCTATCTGTGAAGCCAAAAATATACTCTTAATTCACAGGCAAAAATTAGAGCTAATGATAGATATAATTTGCTTTCTTCTATCAAGAATATTAATCTTGCTACACTTCTTCCAAAGTGTGAAATGTAAAAGTGTTTTGACTTTTTGAGTGTTTAACCAATTAAAATGACAATCTTAATACTTACTATAGGACACAGTATTCATAAAATCTGAACTCAATAGAGAATCTAATCTTTGTGTAAAGCAGGCTAGTTGTTTGTTAAGAATATTATCAATATTTATTTTCCTAAATACTTGGTATTTCCATGTTTTGCCAGTTATCTGTTTGTTTTATTTTGTTTCATTCTTATTTAGTGGACGTACCAGGCCATGGTCCATGAACTACTGGGCATAAACAACAGTCGGATTGATCTTTCCAGAGTGCCAGGAATCAGTAAAGACTTAAGAGAGGTGGTCCTATCTGCTGAAAATGATGAATTCTATGCTAATGTAGGTGTCTTTTAAATTATTTTTATGTAAGAAAGTCATGATTGGCTTGTTAGAATGAAGGCAGATGTGGGATTTCGTGTGAAAGAATAACAGAGGCCTCCTACAGTTAGGCTGCATCTCAAGGGGAGGCGAAAGACTTGGGTGCTGGGCCTTTAACAGCATTTTCTTTCACAGAGATCACATAGTTATTTACTTCTGTCCCTGCTAGTGGCTCCTTATGAGAATAATAATGGTATTCATCTCTAGTATCCTGGCTAATATCCAGATTTGGTAATTAAAATGGAATTTGTCTTTCAAGTCTGCTCAAAATTCTTCTTTACTTCTTTTTTTTTTTTCGTCTTTTTGAGACAGGGTCTCCTTGTAGCCCCAGCTGTCCTGGTACTCACTGTGTAGACCAGGCTGGCCTCAAACTCACAAAGATCCGCCTGACTCTTATATTGTCTGAAATCAGACTAGTTTATGAACTGTACTGCCAATTTCCTTCTTCACAGAACATGTACCTGAACTTTGCAGAGATTGGTAGTAATATAAAGAATCTAATGGAAGACTTCCAGAAGAAGAAACCAAAAGAACAGCAGAAACTAGAGTCCATAGCAGATATGAAGGTAAACCAAGCATGGGTGACTTATACATGAGGCATCGATGTAACTGTTTATATATGCAACATTTCTGGAATATTTGGGGTCTGATTTCTACCTTGATTTTTTGTTTGTTTTGTGTTTTATGGAGTGGAGAGTGGTATTTGAGACTGACCTGTTACTGGTTATATATCCCAGGCCAGTCTCAAACTTGTACCAGTCTTTCTGCCTTAGCCTCCCAAGTACTGGAATTACAGGTTTGGGTTACCATGCCTAGCTTTTTGTTGATTTGTGTTTTGTTTGTTTGGTTTTTGAGACAGGATTTCATACTGTAGACCAGACTGACTTCCAGCTCAGCCATGTAGACCTCAGTAGCCTGGAAACCATGGCATTGCTCATGCCTTGGCCTCCCAGGTGCTGGGCTTTCAGGCAATAGTTACCACATCCAGCAAGTCACTTTGTTTAATTTGAGTTTCTCTTTAATAAACAATACAGTGAAAAATTCATCCTAAGTCATATGCTTCCATTTTTTTCAGTCATATTTGGCCTCCTTAAAGACTCTATTGATACATGCCAGCTTTTCTTAAACACAATAAAATGCCATGTGAGTGAGAATTGTAGTACCTTACCTGGGCAGGAAAATAACCCCTGACTTTTAAAAATCCTTTCTTTATATGTACATATTCTCAGTCAAAAAGTAACAGAACCTCCCACTGATGTTTCTCCCATGACAGGCTTTTGTTGAGAATTATCCGCAGTTCAAGAAAATGTCTGGAACTGTATCAAAGCATGTGACAGTGGTTGGAGAACTGTCTCGGTTGGTCAGTGAGCGGAATCTGCTGGAGGTTTCAGAGGTTGAGCAAGAACTGGCCTGTCAAAATGACCATTCTAGTGCTCTCCAGGTCAGTCTAATGTGGTGAGCACCTGCTATGTGTAAGCACTGTGCCAGGCAGAGAAAGATACAAAGGCAAGTAATCCTTCTTCGCCAATGCGAAATTTGGTTTAACAGGGAGTTGAGAACACAGAGTACCTTTAAGATGGATATAAGCTGGGTGTGGTTGCACATAACTTTGATCACAGCACCTAGGAGGCTGAGGCCTGGAGGAGGATCACAAGTTTAAGGCCTGAATAGGCAGCTTAGTGAGACCTATGTTCAGTCTATAGTCCACTAAAAAATATTAGTTATTGAAGATTGCTTTTCCTTTTTTTTTTTTCTTTTGTTTTTGAAGATTGCTTTTCATTCCTCAAACATACTAGTGTGCTACATGAAAATGCTATGCCATCTACAGGCCACTAAAAAAATTAGTTATTGAAGATTGCTTTTCCTTTTTTTTTGTTTTTGAAGATTGCTTTTCATTCCTCAAACATACTAGTGTGCTACTTGTAAATGCTATGCCGAGGATCTAGGAATATAAAGATGAGTAAGATACTAGCCTTTCTCCCCATATGTTCACATTGGAAGAAGGAAAAAGGAAATTTAGAAAACTGTGGGCTGGGGAGATGGCTGAGGGGTAAAGTGCCTGGCTCCAGCATGGGGATCTTAGTTTGCATCCCCAGCACATGTGTAAAAAAGCCAGGTATGGTGGTCCACACCTATGATCCCTGCTCTGGGAGGCAAAGAGACAGGAACATCCTGGGGGCTCACTGGCCAGACAGTATAGCCAATTGATGAACTCCAGGTTCAGTGAGAGAACTTGTCTCAAAAAACAAGGTAGAGAACAATAGAGGAGATACCCAGTGTTAACTTCTGGCCTCCACCAGCACACACAGGTACACACACACACACACACACGAAATATCTTTAAAAAGAAATAGGAGAGATGGCTCAGCGGTTAAGAGCACTGACTGCTCTTGCAGAGGACCCGGGTTCGATTCCCAGCACCCACATGGCAGCTACGAACTGTCCTTAACTCCAGTTCCAGGGAAATCCAATGCCCTCTTCTGACCTCCGCAGCATTGCACGACATGGGTGCACTCACATATATGCAGGCAATATACTCATAGACATAAAATAAAAATAATAAAATATTTGAAAAAAAAATAGACAATAGATTGGGAAGATGGCTCAGTCAATAAAGTACCTGCAGCACAAGTACAAGCACCTGAGTTTGGATATCTAGAACCTACATGGAAAGCTGGGGATGAGAGCGTGCTCTGTAATCCCAGCCCTCTGCAGATGGAGACAGGTAGATCCTTGAAGCTCATTGGCCAGTCAGCCTAGCTGAATCAATAAGCTTCAGGTTCACTGAGAAATCCTGTCATAAAAAAATAAAAGTGAAGCATAATCAAAGAAAGACATTCTACTTTGACCTCAGATCTCCACACACAAGTACACCCATGTGCATGTACATCTTCACACAAGTACATACCTACAATAACAAGTACATACATACATATACACACAAAGAAATTATAAGGAATTGTGCCAGACACAGTGGCACACACCTTTAATCCCAGCACTCAGGAGGCAGAGGCAAGCGAATCTCTGAGTTCAAGGCCAGCCTGGTCTACACAGGGAGTGCCAGGCCAGCTGGGAACTATAGGGAGACCCTGTCTCAAAAAGATCCCACTCCCAAAATATATATATATGGATTACTATATATAATTGTATATTTATATATTTAAACATATATGTAAGGATTACTATATATAATTGTATATATTATAATTGTATACTATTACAATAAGGAATTGTAATATCATGTAATTGCTATAATAGAGGTATTTACAAAGGCATATGGAGATTTAGATGAAGGACAACTGTTTTCCCCAGTGATGAAGCTTCTTAAAGTTTCTTAGAGACAATGGTGTGAAGACTGATTTGGTTAGAGAAATAAGCAGGAGTACACCAAGCAGAGGAAAAAGGAGGTGCATTCTCAGCCAGGAGAATAAAGGGGAGATGTGATGATGAGAACACACAGTGGTCTGTAGCTAGTACAGAGTACAAGCTGAGGAATGTTTAAAACTAGAAAGACAGTTTGAAGGACAAGGACTGAACCTTGATAGCAGAGAGCTTGCCTAGCCTGCTCAAGGGCGTGGGTTACAGCCCTAATACCACAGGCGGGGAAAAAGAAGAAACAGAAAAAGGACCAGGCTATAGACATTGAAAGGAGGTTGGCTTCGATTTTAAAATTAAGGGAATCATCAGAGGATTTTAAAAGAAAAAAATGATAAATAGACCCAAGAAATTTATAGTCTAGTTGAATGACAAAATCAAGATATTACTTAAGTCAAAATTGTGATGCTGACCATAATGAGACTTGAGGTTATTAGAAGGAGTTTCAGGCTGGAGAGATGGCTCAGTGGTTAAGAACACTGGTTGTTCTTGCAGAAGACCCAGGTTCGAATCCCAGTACCCACATGGCAGCTAACAACTGTCCATAACTCCAGTTCTAGGGGATCTGACAGCCTCTTCTGTCCTCCAAAGGCATTGCATGACACAGGTGCACTTTCCTACATGCAGGCAATATACACATACACATAAAATAAAAATAATAATTTTTTTTTAAAGAAGTTTCTTAGAGAAGGCAGCATTAAGGTGGACCATAAGGAGTGACTAGAATTTGGGGGAGGATTTCAGTCAGGAGTAACAACAAAGCAAAGATGTGCAAGTGTGCAGGAAATAACAGCTTGACCTACTGAGCATGGGTGTGGAGGGGAAATAGAAGATAAAATTGCCTTGTAAGCAGGAACCAGCGATTAAAAGAGATTCATGCAGGCTCTGGGAGGCAGAGGTCCAATGTAGGATCTTATATGGAAAGCTGGTATTATAAAAGCAGCATTATAGGAAACTTAATCTCTCAAGGATGCATTACAGGTGAAGAGACTGAAATCAGAGGGGCTTGTAGACTTACAGTGATAGCAATGAATAGTAAGGAGCAAATCTGAGAGTCATTGAAAAGAGAGAAAATGGTTAAATGATGGATTCAGTGTGAGGCTAGGAAGAACAAATCAAGGTGATTCCAAGGTTCTGAGAAATGACAAAATCATTCTATCAAAATAACAAAAACCAAAAATGACTCACCTGTCAGTGACACCACTGAAAAAAAGTAATTTAGAAATAAGTTCTTTGAGAGTTATTTCTGAGCCACTTTACAAGAAGCCCATTTCCCTATTAATAGGATCCTATATTCTGAAAAACCAAGTTTTTCTTCCTTTGCTGAATTCTACTTTATTTCATAAATAAAGCCAGCCAGGTGTACTGGAAACAGCATAGGCTTTGGAGTGTACTGCCCAGTTTCTAGCGTGTTTACCAGAGTTTCTTTGGGAAAATGACCTATTTTGCCCATGAGGGTTCAATATGACACATAAAATACTTCACATATGATAGGTGCTTGGTCAATGTTGGGTCCCTTCCTCTAAATATATTTTATACATGGTATGATCAAAAGAAGGTAATCTATGTGTAAGTGCACCCTTCTATCAAGGTCTTTACGGGGATTTATAGGGTTTTTTTTAATGTTTATCAAGATTTTCTGAAAACCCCAACATTTAAAATAATCATAAGGATACTATTTATAGTTATGTAAAGTGTTTCTTCATCGCAGTTTTAATTTCATCCATGTGTTTCTAAGTCTTCACAAAGAACTCTGGAGACTGACATTTTTAATTCTTAGATTATAAGTCTTGGGTAAAAGACGTGTTTGGAAAAATTTGAGTCTATTAATGTTTCATATTTTTTGTTGTTGTTGTTGGGTTTTTTTGTTGTTGTTTTTTTGGGGGGGTGGATCTTTTTGAGACAGGGTTTCCCTGTAGCCCCAGCTGGCCTTGCCTGGAACTCTCTATGTAGACCAGATTGGCCTCGAACCACAGAGATTCACTTGCCTCTGCCTCCCCAAGTGCTGGGATTAAAAGCACGCACCACAACGCCTAGCTTTCATATGTGTTTTTACAGTCATTCCAGGCTATGTGTTCACATATCTCTTTTTTCATATTTGAGAGATGCCATACTGTGCAGAGACCTCTGCATTTTGTTTTCTCACTTAACTATATGTCGCAGAGAATGTTTCAGATCAGAACCTTAAGGCTTATTTGTTTTTCCTTTTTTTCAAAATCTGTTTGTTCTTTGACAATTTCATACATGTATAGAATGTATTTTTGTCATTTCATCCCTCATTACCCTCATCTTCCTATTCTCACTGAACCCCTCTTTCTTCCCTCCCACTTTTGTTGGTTTTTTGTGACCCACTAAGTTTAATTAGGGTTGCTTGTATGAGCATAGATGGGGAGTTATTTACTGGAGTTTGGGCAACTTACCCGTGCTACCTACACCACTGAAAAAAATGGCTCACCCTCTCCAGCAACCACTCGTTACCACTGGCTCCACAGGGAGGGGTGGGGCTCATGAGCCCCTCTGCCACCCATCATGAAATGTTGAAGGGCTGCAACTGGTGAAGGGAACCAGAGCTGCTGTGACTCACAAGTGCAACAGTCACATCAGGTCCAGAAGCCAGTATTTTATGGTCCTCCTCCTTACCCTCCCAGATCTCACATTCTCTTTCTTAAACTTATTTCTTAATTTATTATGGGGGTGAGCACACATGCCACAGCTTGTATGTAGAAGTCAGAGGACAACTTTGTGGAGTCAGTTCTCTCCTTCCATGTTCTATGTGTGTTCTGAGAGTCAGATAGGCTTGTGTAGCAAGTACCTTTATCCGCTGAGCCATCTCACCAGCCCCAAAGTCTTATATTCTTTCCACTCCCTCTTCCACAATGTCTCCTGAGCCTTGGGGAGGTGACATGGATGTCTCAACAGACACTTACTCTCAGCACTTAGACTAATTATGAGTCTTTGCATTAACCATCTTGGGGCTATTTTTTAATCACTGAGTGTTATCCTTTGCAAAGATGTAAAAAAATATATTTAATGTAGCCAACTTACTTTAAATAGAAATTAGCAGTC